CCGTGTGTGTGTGTGTGTGTGTGTGTGTATGTGTGTGTGTGTGTATGTGTGTGTGTGTGTGTTTTGGGTTTGTCTGTGGAGGCAAGAAGAGGACATCGGATCCCCAGCAGCTAGAGTTACCAGCAGTTGGAAGCTGCCGGACACAGGTGTTAGGAACTGAGTGTAGGTCCTCTGCAAGACCAGGGCACACTCTTAACCACTAAGACATCTCTTTAGCCCCAATATATTTCATTGAACCCAACCCACCTTCTCTAAAACATCAGCATTTCAACATGCAGTCAATATAACACATAACTGTGGCATTTACTCTGGTTTTGGACTAAGACTTGGAACTCCTCCTGGCTTCACGTCAATTCAAACACCTTTCCAGTGCTCTGGAACTGCAAGTGGCCGAGTAACGGCCACAGCCAGGGCAGAGCCTGGGAAATGAGTGTTGGTGCTGGGATGACAGACTCCTGCTCTCACAAGAGTCCTGGGGGCTCAAAACCAGGGTCTCACACTTGTGTAGCAAATACTTGACCCACTGAGCTCCAAGCACACAACCCTTAAGCAACATCGATCATGTAATATTATGTAAGGAAGCACCCCCAGACTTCAACCCAGACATCCTCAGATGCTTCCGTCACACTGCACGCCCAGAGGTGTGTCTCTGAAAGTTGAGATAATTTTTTTTTGTTTGCAATCATCTCCTGATACTTTTCCTTCCCTCAGCTTCCAGAACATTCCCTTGCCACAGGCAATGAAGGCAAAGAGAAGGAACACCTTGAGGATGTGAACTAGTTGGGTAGCCTGGCGGAATGGACTGGAAATCCCTTTAGACAGCAAACTGTAAACACATGTTGATGTGCTCAGACTGACTGTGTCTGGGACCCACGTGCCCTTAGTCAGCACTCCAAAGGAATCCATCACGGTCCCAACTGCCGCTCACTCATGCAAATGGAATTTTAATCTTTGTTTAATCACCGTTTAGTGTGTCTGGCACCCTTTGAGGAGAGGAGAGAATGGGGAAACAAAGCCAACTCCAATCTGCTGGAGAAAAAAGATTGGTCAGAGCACACACTCCAATCCGGAGACTGCAGACTTGGCAGGGCCTGTCAGCAAGGGTGTTTGAACCTCTGGCCCAGAAGAAAAGGGAAAAGGTTGTGGGCTCCAGCCAGGTCTCAGGCTGTATTTAGGGGGCAGTCTTTGCTGAAAATGTTAGGGTAATTCTCTAGACTCTCAATCCACCCTGGATTGACTTGGACCTGGAATGACTTTGCTTCAGGATCGAATGCACTCTTTGATGCCAAACATTAAGTAGATTATTCTAATAGCCTGTGTGTGTGTGTGTGTGTGTGTGTGTGTGTTACACACAGAGAATCACATAGACAGAAAGACAGACAGACAGACAGACAGACACACGCACGCATGCACACATGAGCGATCGGAGTAGACCAGGTAGAACTTATTTAGCCAAATGAATAAAGTTGTTTTATATAAGGTGTGCTGGTATGATGAGAACAGCCCCCATAGGCTCACATGTTTGAATGCTTGGTCGCCACTTAGTGAAACTGTCCTGGAGGTGTGGATCAGTGCAGCCTTGTTGAAGGCGTGTCACTGGTGGTGGGCTTTGAAGTTTCAAAACTCCATGCCATGCCCAGTGTCTCTCTGCCTACTGCCTGTGGATCAGGATGTAAAGGGCTCAGCCACTGCTTCACTGCCATGTCTGTCTGCTTCCCACCATGATGATCACAGACTCACCCTCTGAAACTGTAAGCAAGCCCCCAATTAAATGCTTTCTTTTATTAAGAGTTGCTTTGGTCATGGTGTCTTTTCACAGCAACAGAAGGGAATCTGGACAGTTGTCAGTTGAAATTCTCCATGAATTTTAAGGCCAAACGCTGAGTAATTTTCAATCATCCATGTAACAAGGGATTACTGAAGGCCTACTGTGTCCAGGGAATTCTGGGAGAGGCAAAGTGTGATGGGTAATCTTAGCGTCAATTTGACTGGACTTATCATTACCTAGGAGACACACCTTTGAGAGTGTCTGAGAGAGCATTAACCAGAGAGGTTTAACTGAGGAAGTAAAGTACACCCTCAGTGTAGATGGTACCATCCCTGTGCTCCAGGGTCCCAGACCTGACAAAAAGGAGAATGAACAGAGAACCATGTCTCTCTGCTTACTGACTGTGGACCCAATGTGACAATGTCTTTCACACTCAGCTCCTGCCACCATGCCACCCCTGACATGATTGACTGTATGTAACCTTCCTAAACCATTAATATAAACCCTTTCTGGGGCTAGAGAGATGGCTTAGAGGCTGAGAGCATTGGCTGCCCTTTTAAAGGACTTGGGTTTTATTCCCAGAACCTACAGAGCAACTCACAAGCATCTGTAACTCTGGTTCCAGGGAATCTGATGCTCTCTTCTGGCTGCCACAGGCACTAGGGAAGTACAGGGTACTGACTACATGCAGATAAACGCCCACATACATCAAAAAACAAAACAAACCATCTTCCTTCCGTAAGTTGCTTTTGATGATGTTGTCATAGCAATGAGAAAAGTAGCTAATACATATAGTTAAGTAAGACAGTCCACGGGTTCAATAAAATCACTATAGTGTATTGCCTTGTTCCCACCGGGATGACTGGGTAAGGACTCCTACAGAAGAGTCTTTGGGATGGGTGTGGAAGAATAGGAAAGGGTTTGCTTGGGAGCAATGCAGGGTGGGGGAGGGGGACTCCAGCTGGAGGGGATGCATGAACCAAGAAATGGAGACAAGCAGTGAGAGATAGATTTACTTAAGGGCAAAGGCCTGACATGGCAGGAATAAATAAGGCTCAAAGGGCAGACATGAGGCACACAGTAGGAGGAAGTCTGTACCAGCGCTGTTTGGCAGGTGAGAGCCACAGTCTGAGGGAGAAATGAGGCAGAGCAGAGCTCAGGAATAACTACAGAAGCCCACGTGCTTTAGATCAACCTCCTCTTTCTCCTCTTTTCCTCCTCCTTCTCCGAGATAAGTGAGGATGGAGTCCACTCGTTTTTCCTCTAGAGGAAATGTCTCTTCTTCAAAACTGAGGACCACTCTTATTTTAGCCCTCACAAATAAGGCTCAAGTGAGAGGTTGACTATGCCAGCCTCAACCTGACCTGATGTTTTGAGAAAATGTATATGGGGGGGGGGATTTGTTCGTTTGTTTTTAACTTTAACCAGAACCAAATGGTATGAGAACACACCTGAACCTAACCAGTACCATGCCCTGGCGAGTCTCCGAACTGAGCACCAGGTGGGAACTGAGAAGCCATCTTGGGCAAGCGGCCCTAGCACTGCAGAATAACCTCAGGCCTCCACACTTCATGTTCCTTAGGATGCTCATTTAAGGACCGCCTGTCTCCCCAAACTGTGAACCCCAGAAAACCAGGTCTTACTTTCACTGACTACTGAATGGACAGATCTGCCTCCACTCTATTTTTTTTTCTGGATGGAAGGAAGGTCACACAGGGATTAGACAGGCCTAGCATAGTCACAAGGACATAATACCATAAAGTGCTTAACTTTATCCTCTGATCAAATGGCTTCAGGTCAGTTTCATTGGGCTGCAAAATTCTAAAGAGAGAGGGCTGGCCTGACCCTAAAGTGATTTCTGAAAGATGCCCCAGGCTTTGACCTCTCAGTGCAGATTCATTGCCAGTCAGAGTCCTGTCTGTCTATATTCCTAGCCCTGAGGCCAGTGGCACAGGTTCTGCCTGTCTTTTCTCTGGGGCTGCTTTCATTTTCATGAAAGTAGCACACATTTTAGCTCAAAAGCACATACACCCACACACATCCAGTCACACACCCTCCCGGCTTTTCAGTGAGAGAAAAACTTCTATCTTGCTTGATTTGTTCCGATCTGGTCTTAACTGAGACGAGCATCTTCTGTTGAGAAGCCTTTGTTGAGGCGGCAGGGAGTCTGAAGGGGACCCGGAAGACCCGGCTCTCTCATTCCTTCTGTCTGCATGTAGGTGGAGGGTCCACAGATAGGGTCCTGTGTCTGTCTAGGTCTCTAAAATTTGGTCAGAGCATTAGTAGAAAATTGATCAGTTTGAAAAATGCTGAGGCGGGTCCAGAACTAGCGATTTTAAAGCATCCTGGAAGGCGGGGATGATGTGAAAAAGTCAATTTAATTTATAAACACCAGCAGTGAAACATTGAGAACTGAATTATCATTTACAACAGTGCCAACATATCAAACACTTATGGGACAAACTGAACAA